TTGTCATAACTTTTTCAAATGAACTATACCATAGTACTCTTGAGAATAAAAATATGAATTGTATATGGGTAATTGTCAAAGAATTCATTTTCTGTAATTGATATAATTTCTGTATTAGTTATACAAACACTCTTACTTATACTCAGATATAGTTTTTAACTTGTTGTTGCTGGCCTTATTCTATAGTAAGAATTACCTTCGGATATCATCCCCAACATGAATGTATAAAGATATCTGTGAATGTATTTCATTATCACGACAATACATCATCTTATAAATTTCTTATATCCCTATGGATCTTATTAACAATAAAATTATTATGTTAACATCAGGATAAGTTCCATTACATGAAAGTATTTGCAGACACGTAACAATCGATAAAATATTTTGTAAAATCTTGTATTAAACATCAATAAACAAAATAGCAACCATTAGATAATTATTTTATCAATCTTTTTTTTCTACAAGGATAAGACAAAACAGAAAGAACCTATTCGTTTTTATGAATCTATGATTATATTACTGTTGTATTTATTTGTTTTTTGAATTGTTTTGAAGAACACTTTTAAAGTGGTATGATGGGGAATATTTGATTTTTCTTTTATGTTTTTTTGACAATACTTTCTTAATAATATTCTTGCATTTGGTTTAATCATCATGAAAGTTTGGAAAATGTCATATCAATCCTTCGTATATTTATAGTTCTTGAGGTCTTGAATATGTTAATTTATGCTGTTTTGGCTGTATTGTTGTTAAAACACAAGTTTTTTGAGAATCAAAAGTATTAGGGTGTTGTTTATATTCTGTTTATATCTATTTAGCTAGTATTAATTCTTCACGTTTTGTAAATAGTATTGAAGCAAGATATCCGATTTCATGAATACCTTAATATACAATCTTGTGATGAGAAGATCGACCCAAAACATTACAAAAACTTATAAATATCTACAGTTGTAATTATATATAAATAAAGAGTTGTTACAAGTTCTCCAGAGAAGTGATCTTTATTTATATTTCAAACCACAGTGCTAAGAGACCTGTTTTAATAAATAAACAACAATAATAATATTTGTTGATTGTCTAACTTACAAATATGGAAAAATTATGCTAGGCTCTAAAGGTTGACTATGAGTACTTATTTATTAAGTTGTAACTATTTAATTCACACATCTGATGTTCTGGAACATGATGTTGTCAATAATACAAATAAGAATGTGTGAGTATTTGTAGTCGATTATCAGATAACCCACGTAGGAAATTTTATATCAAAGCTTACTTAAAGAGGTCTTTGATCCATTGTGATAGATGATATGATTGATTATCAATATTAGATTATGGTATAGTTGGGTCCAATATAATATAATTAGACAATATATAGTATGTTCACAAGATCTTTTTTGTTAAAAACTGATTTTGGTAGATCGTTGGTAATTTTTTTGCAAGATTAATATGTATTTAATAATAAATACAATATATACTATTTGCATGGGTTTTCAATAAACGAGAAATCCAATTTACTAAATACTTAAAACATAACAACGTTAGACTTTAAGTCTACTATATTCTAAGAAATGCCATATTAGCATCCCTGAAACTCTAATTTCAAATGTTAAATCTACAAAATTATATTTCCATAAACAATTAAGATTATTTAACTTAAATATCATTTTAAATATTTTCATAGGATAAATGCTTGATCATAAACAGTAGAAAGATGGTATAGTGTTTAACATAAATCTATTTATCAAAGTCTTCTTTGAAATGAAAAACGTAAGCAGATTTTTCAAATTTGTGGCTTTCACTGCATATAGAACATGTAGATTGTTTTTGAATCGATCTTGTTTTCTGGAAAATAATTTTGTATTATTAGGCATAGAATATTTCTCATAATTCTCTAAAAACTGTCCAAGATATCTTTTCCCATGGGTAGAGCAAAAATTATTTCCCATGTCAAATGATTATATGAACAATTTATATTTAATCCACCAACTATACCAAGGTAAACAAAGCAATGAGCTCTTTCTAAAAAGTTTCTGAAACATATATATCACTATCTCTTTCTTTAAATTACAAAATATGAGTGAACCACAATTTTCGAATGAATAAAAATAACAACGATAGAGTTATTTATTTTGTGATAAATAAGTCAATGAATTTTGACCATTCTCTTTTCATGTGTAAGATATAGAAACAATGTAAACAACGCAAACTTAATACACTGGATTAATCTGATCCATCAATGGCTATTTTATCACATCTTATATTTGCAGCTACATTTCTAGGTTTATTATGGTAATATTATCTAGTAAATTTTATCGCTCTTTTAAACCTATAACATACAATGTTATTTACTGTATCTACCATCATGATATCAACATGTATCTTTACTATGGATTTATACATAGTAGACTAAGCTCATATCAACCACTATTTCTTTCAATTATGTTTTTATTCTTGAACTGCTTACTTCATTTAGACATTAATAACTGGTAGATTGTATGGTATCACTCTTAAACTATGAACTCCTCATTAATATACAACTTCTCTTGATATTATGTCTTAAACAAGAATGACACTACACAAACACATCACACTTAATTACTCTTAGCATCAGTTATCATTATCTTTTCATTATCCACCAATCTCTTTTCATTCAGATTTCAATTGTCAATTTTTCTTGTTTCAAAATTTGAAAAAATAGTTCGAAAAAAAAATTAACAACAATAATAGCCACACTCATCGACAACCATATAAAATACAGATCCATATAACCATAAATAAACAGTTACGATATGCTTACTATATGGTATAACTTTGAACATTGCTAAACCACTATTTAAGATGGTATAGTTACACCACTGTATACTTAATAATCATTCATAAGTAGCTATAGAGAATATTCTCAAAAGAACTTACTCCATACATATATTGTAACTAGGGAAACTATTTATTAAATACCACTTTCATTTACTGTTATACTACTACTTTCATAATAAATATGACTATTTAAGAATTCTCCAATAACACATGAACACTATCCCTTACTAATATTTTCAATATGAAAAATATAATTATATCTTCTATATCACTTCATTATCCATCGAATGATACTGTTATAATAATTCATGATCGCATGCAATACTTTTTTGAAATTAGCACATCATGATAACTGTTATAAACATAGATACAATTATGCTATATCCATAAACAAATTTACTATATCATCTTTTTACTTATATCTTACTGGATATTTATCCTTACTAATTCCAATTTTATTATAGATGTATTTGATTTATGTTTGATTTTCAATGCTTATGGTAATGATGATAAAAGACAAATTGATTTGATATAATGAACAATATTTTGATTACACCATTATTTCATTCTACTGTATTACTTTCCCTGTTCAATAATTTCTGTTGTGTCTTTTATTCAGATGATTTTATTTTAATGTTTGAAAAAATAATATAATAGAGAGAAATTTTATCTCAATCCTTAAACATTGAACAATATTGAAAAAGAAATTGTAGTGGAGTATTAACATGAAAATCTATCAATTTAATATTCAGGAAATTTATTCTCTTTAAGAGTTAATCTGATATTATTATAGCTGGATGTTTAATACTGTGTATGGATCTCTAATTGTAACCAAGAGTCATGAGAAGATATTGAAATTCAATAAAAAAAATAATAAGAGTTTAATTCCATTATAACATTAAAATAACAAGACATAATATATCTATGAATTAACATTTGCAAAAATATGGATATGTTATAATATTGTTACATGTTCCTTATTTAAAAAGAAAGTTCCCACATTATTGAAATCTTAGGATGATTATTATTACGATATTTTTCAAGTGTAGAGGGGAAATTCTCCTATATCTTGTAAAATCTTGCAAGCTCTGTACCCAATAAAATACAGGAAAAGATACGATAGAATAGCTGATCAATAAAGCATAGCTGTTACCGTATGCTGTATATCTACATTTTTGTGTATAATATTCTTAACATGTATAGTAGGTATGATATATCATCAGTGTGCAATTATGAGTATTTGAAAAATATCTTGGCACCTCATTTTCTTGCACCTCTTTTTGTGTTAATCAAAGAAACTTCTATTCTTTGAAAATTGTTAGAGTAATTTTATGGTATCTTTTTACTATTCATGTGAGAATAATAGTTCTTGAATACCTTATTTCATTTAGGATCGAATATTTTATTACTAAAAGAGAAGTAGTAGAAGTGGAACCGTTAGTCAAAAAGGAAAATAATAAGAGTTAGCATATTTATATAAATGTACATACATATATATATATATATATACTTAATTGACTTAAGGGACAATAGTGTTATCAAATTAGCATATATATATTATTTATTTTCATACCTGTGTGTACGTATATATACGGGAAAGAGAGGAAATAATTAGGGAATAAAGAAAGAAAAAGATTTATGACACTCTTGTTTCGCATTTAATGATCACTTATCTAGTTAACTTTTCGGTAAATGCAGGTAAAGAAAGATTGCAACTGTTTTTAAGATATATGTTAAACCTTTTATTATGATTTTTGAATTGAACTAACATTAAATCTTCATAATTACAATTTTTCTTAACTAGAAAGGGTTTAAGGATCTTATATCGTTTAAACTATTATCAATTGATTTATACAGAAGTAAATTTCCTAATCACACTCTCTTTATTAAAAATTGCCAAAACATGTAGCAAAAATATATATGTATTAAAATGTCTATATAGCAACTATTAGATTGTATAATTGTATTGAATAATTTAAATTACTTAAAATTGGGAGAAGATATTATCGGTTTATTAGGAATGAGTAAATCTATTTGTGTTGTACAAGATATTTGGAAACCAAGTAAATAATAAAAATACACAATATAAAAAATATTAGAATATTATATATGCTTATATAGAAATATTTAATTACTAAATTATTTAGAATTCTTTATTTTAAAATTTTATGTCTTTAATCAATTTAAATTACCATGAATAATAATAAACCAATGCAATGGGCAATACTCCATTTCACGTACATAGTACCACCCTTACCTTCATATGACACAAGAGAAGGTACACCTTCATGAGGTACTGTAACACCAGTCGATGATGAGGATAATTGCTCAGGAATATATTGGGAAACTTGTGACACCATTGTGGTTGGTGATGTTTCTGGTCTTCTAGATTCGACAGTACTGACAGCAGTACCAGTTTCTGAAGTAACGTCTGCTTTACCCTTTGTGGATCCAATAACAGTCGTCGTAGATGCTCTGGAGTTCTTAGATGTCAGTTGATTTTCACTGTTTGTAAATGCTGGACCAGTGGTGGCAGAAGTAATAGAAGCAGCCGGAGTCACATTTGTAGCAGTAGTAAATGAGTTAGTCTCTTCTTGTTGGTTCCTTGAATCAGTATAAACAGATTCAATAGAACTATGTCCAATGATAGCAGTCATACTTGTTTCAGAAGTTGCAGATGGTTCTGGACAATAAGTTGTAGTCATAGTAACTCCATTAACAACCGTAGTCAAAACAACTAGAGTGCCACACAAAGTAGATTCGATCTTTTCACCAGAAATTGTGGAGTTTCCATAGAGAGGAGATGGTACAGAAATTGATGATGTTATAAAGCTATTAAATGGAGATGGGTGATCACTACTACAACAACCTCTGGATATGAAGAGCCGTTGCTGTCAGTAACAGTAGTAGTGTAGGTGGTTGTGGTTAGAGCAGTGACTGTACCAGTAGTAGTGGTTGAGATGACAGAGCCAGATGGATGTGGTGTGAAGATAACTACAACAACTTCAGTAGAGGAAGAACCGTTGTTGTCAATGACGTTGGTAGTGTAAGTAGATGTTGTTGGGGTAGAAACTAGACCTGTAGTTGTAGTGTAGATAGTAGATGGAGATGGAGTAACCACAACAACAACAACCTTTGAAAATGAAGAGCCGTTATTATCAGTAACCGTGGTGGTGTATGTGGTTGTAGTTAGTTTTGTGACCTCTGCGGTAGTAGTTGTGTAAATGGTGGGTGACAATGGAGTGATTACTACAATAACAATCTCAGCAGTTGAAGAAGCGTTACCATCAATATATGTAGTAGTGTATGTAGTGGTCGTTAGTTCTGCAACATCTGCGGTAGTAGTAGTGTAAGTAGTAGATGGCGTTGGTGTAATCACAAGAATAACAACCTCACTAGTTAAAGATCCGTTGCTATCTGTGATTGTGGTGGTGTAAGTAGATGTGGTTGGTTCTATAACATCTGCAGTAGAAATGGTGTAAGAGGTAGATCGAGATAGGTTGATATAAACCACAACAACTCCTGGAGATGGAGAGCCTTGAATATCAAGAACCGTGGTAGTGTAGGTGGTACTAGTTGGTTCCTCGATATCTGAAGTAATAGAGGTGTAGATAGTGAATGGAGGCCGGATGATAATAACTACAACAACTTCTGGAGATGAAGAATCATCTTTGTCAACAAGTGTGGTGGTATAGGTAGATGTTTTTGGAAATGCGAATCGACTAGTAATAGTGGTGTAGGAAGTGGATGGAGGTGGGGTAAGAACAATAACAACAACTTTTTCAGTTTTAGATCCAGCTGTATCGGTAACAGTTGCTGTGAATGTAAATGAGGTTGGGGCAGTAACAGGATATGTTATAGTTGTGTAGGATGTAGATAATGGTGGTGTTTGGACAACAACTACAATTTCTTCGGTGACAGATCCTTCTGTGTCGGTAACAGTTGTGGTATATGTCGATGTATTAGGAGTGGCGATCGATGCAGTTATAGTAGTGTAGGTGGTAGACAGTGGAGGTACAGCAACTTGATAAATGAATTCAGGCACAGTATAGAAGTACTGGTTAGTCGTAGATATTGTTAAAGTTGAAATAGTGCTAGCTTTAGTAATAGAATCTACAGTGGTAACTGTTGTTGTCTTAATAACTGGTTCAGATAACCATGTACATTAGTCACCGCTCAATTGTTGAGTAATTAATACGAAGGTACCATCAAGTTGATATTTAGGATCAGATGGCACAACACTAAAAGATATTTGGTTTGTTACATAGCCATATGGACAACTTGAATTAAGCCAGTACTGGTGGCCATCTACCCCATAATTAATTTGCATGGTGCCTTTCACTGCACCAAAATTTTCATTAATCCATTGTTGAAAATCTATACCTAAGAATACTATTGCAGAATAGACAAAATTTACAATTTTAAGTGAACTTGGTACAATTTTTGGATTAATTAAATACATAGCCTTGTTGATACTAAAAGTTTGTCCTCCTAGAATATCTGTGTTAAGAAGAATTGTAGCTCCAGCATTACCAGTAACTACACCTTTACCTTCAATAGGATTATTGAAGATGATACCTTTCATATCGTATCTACTAACGTACCATTGATATCCATCAGCTGTTAATGAAGAAAATCCACCAGACTTGATAACACCACTATTAGTTATAGTACCAAGGTAAAGGAACCCATTTGTGGTACCGCCTTCACCATCTGTATCATAGCCAATAGTACTTGTATTAATGAAAGAACCAGTTGTAGCTAAAGTGAAATTGGTACCTGGTACAGTAGCAGCAGCGTTTAATTGTGAAATAGTAAATGTACCAGAATTATCAATACTTGCAGGTGCAATAACAAAATCACTGGCAGAACCCGTTGATTTAATATTTTCGATGTTGATGTGACCACTGTTTGTAATTGTAGTAGTAGAACTAAATTGTAGACTAGTTAACCCGTTTGTTGAATCTCCAACAATGTTTAAAGAACCTTTAACATTAATATTACTATTGAAGGAATATGATGAACCAGATATTAATGCAAGAGTAGCCCCTGATTCAATTACGATATCATCAGAAAACGTTTGATCACCAGACAAGGTTGTTGGTGTTGAAATAGTTGTAGTAGCAGCACTTACTTTGGTCACAAGTAGCTCTAATAGTGACCATAAAATTAATATCTACATTCTAATGATAACAAAGATGAGAAGTAGTTAATTTTTGTTTTACCTCACTTTGTTTTTTTTTGTTTATCTTATCCGATTAATATTTTTCGTTGATTTTTTTTTTGAAGATTTTTCTGGGGTAAACGCACAAGAACGAGAATCAGGAAAAAAAAATTAGGAGAAAGTAAAACTCAAAAGAACAAACATAAAGATCAATGTGCAAACTGTACAAATGCAGACATGAATATATTTATATATATTTGTTTTATAAGTATGTATGGCAAATAATCATCAATGATAAAACCAAAAAATCAAACCAGAGTAACCAGCAAGATCCAGATTTTTTTTTTGAATATGTAGGGGTATATATTATGCATAATACATTTTGATCATTTCAGAATGGTCTTTTGGCGGTATAAAAAGATCTGCATATGCTATTGTTTTTCTTTTTGTAGGGTTGTAGATTTTCTCAAGTAAAAAATTTGGTAAACGTTTATTCCACGGAACAAAAACAAGGTAGGGTTCACAGAAATATCATAAGTTTTTTTTTTTGTTTTTTCGCTGAAATAAAACGGTGTGACATTTTTTCTACTACTAAGTATTACAAAATGTGAAAGTTGATAGATGCACTTCATTTGTAGAATTTAGTTGCCATTTTCAAAAAATTGCAGATATATACTTTTTGAGTATATCTTCTCACCATATATTATAATTGAAACAAAATAAAAAACAAGCATACTTAGATATTTCAATGTTTAAGTGTTTATCACAAATTAGTTGTCTATCTGCTAATTTATTTCACAAATACATAAGAAATGAATTTTTCTCTGGAGTAGTGAAATTATTAAAATAAGTTGTTCTAGAATGAAATAAGTAGAACAATGGGATTTTAATAAATGCCAGATAGAAAAGAAAATATTTACGTATATTAAAACTAAGAATTTCTTAATGTCATATTTTTCACGTTATGCATACTTTCTATATAAAATTATTTCTATGCTATGTACAAAAGAGAGAAAAAAGGAGTTTTAGTTTAATTATTTATGCTGGATTGATATATTACCGATTTGAGTAACATGTAAATATATCAAAGAAGAAAAATGTTTGTTTTGCACATTCAACGTTATGGAGATAAGATCAAACAAAATCAAAATAAATTAATATATTATGAAAAATTGCCAAAAGGTAAACATATATAAGTAGACAACTTTACTTATTAATTTTCCAATCTGGATGAATAATATATATACATCGTATCTTTATGTTTCTTGTATATTTATATAATTATTAATTCCCAATCAAGAGATTGAGGGAAAATTACACTACATATCAATATAATAATAATACACAATAATAACATATTGTATGATCACCGACGCTAAGAACATGTATACTAATATTATTCAGCCAGAGGAATTTACGCGGTTAACTTTATAAGAATTATAAACTACAGTTGGGAATATATTCATGTTAATCAATAAATACAAGTGTTAATTTGTAATATATATATATATATTCTATTAAATAGCACAAAGTAAATATAGCACACTGCTTGTTGAAAATTGGCTATTTTAGCAACAAACAGTATCCTTATATTTGAGTATTTGGAACAATCTCTTGTTTCTCTATAATTTATTGGGTTTGTATGAGTATTGCTAGCATATTTCTTCTGATTAAATTTTGCATTTCATACTTTAGATATGTCATAGTTGATAGGTCTTTGCAGCCATTTCTTTTTTTTTTTGTACATTGGAAGAAGGGTATTTTTTTTTTACCAAAACTAAGAAAATAGGGAGTGGAATTTTTCACAGCATTCCGACTTCTAGGGTGGAAATAATGAACAATAGTCCAGAATACTTGCATATATTGTCTTTGATAGCTATTGTTACGTCAATACTTTATTTGAACCGAGATCTGGAAAAATTCTATTGTTAAGTTTTTTTTCTAAATTTCCCTGCACATTAAATGCATTTGTTTTGTATTTAGGAAGGAGTATAGTGGAGGCGTAAATAATGACCAAATTTTTTTCTTTTTTCCTTTTTTCCTAATCTTTTGTCCTATTCTTTTTTTCTATTTTTCTTATCTTTTGATTTTTTTCATTTGTTAAGCCTTTTAGGAATTATTCGTTTAAATGTTCCTGAGGATAAGATGGACTTAATTAGAAGATATAACAAAACAATAGTTTAATAAATTCGTAGAATTATAATATGTTACAATTGGAGAAGAACAGGAAACATACAATGAGCACACTGTGTAAAAGAAAAATAAAAATACTATTCTTAGCCGTACAAAAAGATAATTATTTGTCAATTTTTGTTTGAATACTCTCTAACATATTACTAATACTTAAAGTTCAAAGCATATAATTGTAATTAAATAGCAAAAAATAAAGAATTTTTATCTTAAAAATGTGACCTTAAGAAAATATTAAAAATACACTAAGAAATACTTGTTTTTTTCAAGAAAAAAAAAAGGAACGGTAGATAAAACAGGTGACCCATGATATGGCACTACTCCCTAAAAAGTTTTGTGAGATTTGATAAA